GAACTATAGGCGGAAATTTGTATTTCTTGTTGTGCGAGATTCTCTTTAGAATCCAAAAAAATATGAGACAGAGTTGGGAGGAGGGAGAAGAGAGAGAAAGAAAAAAAAAAGATGAGGTGAGAGGTTGAAGCTGTGAAGAGGCGGTGGACAAGAGAGAGAAAATGAAGAGATTCTAGGGTTATGGGCTTTTATGGCTGCCAACATGGGAAAATCAATTCGAGAGACCTGTTATTTAGATTGACGGGTCTCTCTGATTCCTCAATTAAAATAATAAAATTCAAGAGACCAGCTATTTTAAATCACGGGTTTCTTGGATATTACTTGAGACCTGTCATTTAAGATGAAAGGTCTCTCTATATTCTTCGATTTTCTAAAAAAATCCCAAGAGACCTATTTTCTTAAATGACGGATCTCTTTGATGTATCGAGAGACCTGTCGCCTATAATAATGGGTCTCTCCTCTAAAAGAGACCCGTTATACACTTAACTGGTCTCTTATGTTGGGCCTCTTTGGCCAATTTTGTAGTAGTGAAAATATTTAAGGTTAAAGTTTTACATCAGCATGTGTATATGTCGTGTGCCATGTCATTGATATTAAAATAAGAATATTTGTATTTGTGTTGGTAAATATTTTTGTAAATAGGAATACTTGCATTGGTACATACAAACTATGCAAATATTTTGGTAATGAGGTTAATTAGGATAGTTGTAAAACATGATCATCCTCTTTTTTTTATTTTTTTTATTTTTTTTACACTTCTCTTTACATGCTTGTCAATTCATTTTTTTTAGTCGCTAATTAGTGTGTGACCCAGGCTTTGCTCTAGAGGCTACTTTGAGAACTTCTTTTTTTAATTTTTTATTTATAAAGTTGAGAGACTTTGGTAATTTATTATTATTATTATTATGAGTAATTATAATAAAATGACAACCATAAATAATTTAATTCCAATATGTATTTATATATTTGCATGGATTAGTAGCGCAGGATCTATTTCTAGTTAAAATAGTCGTAAGTGATGTTTTCATTATTGAGGTTTGGTGTTCAAACCTCTTTGTATGCATTTTTAGTATATGATGACATAAAATAAAAATTGTTAATTGGTGATGTGGTGTGATGCTAGTGTTGATGATGTGGCATGATGCAAGTGTAAGAAAAGACACACGTGACATATATGCGTTTTTAGGAACGCCTTTTAATATATAGGGCCAATTGACAATATTATATTGGTAAATAAAAAAGACTTTTAACGACAATTTGGTAACAAAAATAAAAAAAAACTCCGACGATAATTTAGTAAAAAAAAAGTCAACCATAAGTGACAATTTGGTGAATAAAATAATCTCATGCGACAATTAACCCAAAAAAATACAAAATATCCGATAAATTACTCGAGAATGCTTAATTTAGTTCAGTATTCATCTTTATTTTTACCAACCCCTTTTTATGGAAATAACAATTTCAAGAAAAAATAAATATAAAGTATAAATTTTCGCTTAAGTTTCATACCCCTTATTAACAAATTTTTGTAAAAAGGGTTGGAAATAAATTTGGTATATGTATTTAGCAAAATAAAAAAGGATGACACACTAATTCAAAATTTGAAATGCAATGGGAAAAATAAATTTAAAAACACAAAAAAAAAAAAAAAAAAAATTAAATTATGATTTTTAAAGAGTTTGTCGAAAAAAAATTAGATATTTTAGTCTAAATGTCGCCAGATTTTATTGTTTTTACCAAATTGTCGTATATGGTTAGCTTTTTTAACTAAATTATCGTCGGAGTAAGTTTTTTTTACCAAATTGTTGTTGGAGTATGTTTTTTTTACCTATCTGGTCAATTGGCCTAATATATAGTATATATATATTTAATTACCAATAGGTAAAAGTTATGAATATTTGATATTAAAATAGTATTAATCAATAAAATTATAAAAAAAACCACTATCTCATGTGACTATATTTTTCTTAGTTATAAATCATCTTGGCCAAAGTAAAGAAAATAAATAGTATAGAGTATAAAAGTCAAAATTTTCCAAGTATAAAAATAGTAATTTCTTTAATTTAGAAAATAATTGTAATGTAACCATCATAAAAGAAAGGAAAAAGATACATCCAGCCCTAAGGACTGCATATAAGAAATTAAAAATGGAAAGAAAAGACAATAAATAAACATTTATTTCACCAATTTACTTGTAAATTTTTAATAAATTTTCAACTTAATAGTAAAAAAGGAAGTATATTAAATGCTTATATGCAGCCCTATTACTAAACATGGGCACGGGCCGTGCCGGCATGCGAGCGGCACGGGCCCGGCACGACTCCGGCACAGCCCGGCACGACACGGTCGCCGGCACGGCACGGCGGCCCACCTATGGGCCGTGGGCCGTGCCGTGAACACTTTTTTGGAAATCGGCACGGGCACGACACGTAGCACGGTGGCCGGTACGTGGGCCGGGACGCTGGCACGACCCGCCGGCACGGCACGGCACGGCACGAGCCCGCCATATAATAAAATAATTTAATTATTTTGTATTATTAAATTATCGTACATTTTTACCGGCTACCGTCATTATAATAAAATAAGTTATTCTTCAATTTTTTGTGTGTTTGGATTATCGCACTTGTATTTTTTTTTATTATATGCATTGTTGTTTTTTGCTAAATTAATAAAATTATTTTTATTTATTTTTATAAACTTAAACATAATTATTAATTAGATAAATAATTTATATAACCTAAATTAAAATAAAGTTGTTTAAAAAATGTAAACAAATTATATTAACATTAACATAAACATAAATTAATCACATATATTAAGTTGTACTAAAAAAATATATATCGTTTAATTCGTTTTTTTTTCATTTATTAAAAAAAAAAATTAAAAAGGGTGGCACGATTTGGCCCGCGGCCCGGCAAGGCACGTGGGCCGTGCCGTGCCGTGGGTTGGGGTGTGCCAATTTCAGGCACGGCACGGCACGGCACGGCCCCCACCGCGGCACGGCCAGGCACGGCTCGCGGCGGCACGGCACGGCCCGTTGCCCATGTTTACCTATTATCCTAAAAGAAAACACCTGAAATAACAAACTTATGGTTTGTTTGGCATTGTTGTGGTTTTTTGTTTTTTAAAAGTATATGATATATGTCCCATAAATCCATAATGAATCAAAAATTATTTAAATTTATTAAAATCATGATAATTTTGAAAACTGACAGCAAAAAATTGGGAACACTTTATTCTTGTTTCTTGTTTTTGGTTTTTAAAAAAATAGGAAATTGAAAACAAAAAATGATGCCAAACAAGCCCTTAAATTTCGGAAAGTATTAAATTAATGTTTAGTTACTACTTTTTTTTTTGAACAATTTTTTTTTTTTAAAAATAAAGGTTTAAATTGTCCCAAGAAAGAGAAAAGGGTTAACTGAAATCACACATAGGCACATAGCTTTAGGAGGGATATAAACTCTTTAACCCATGACACATATATATACGTTAAAATTGGAAAGAACTCGTTAAAATTATGAACAAGAATCTTTATATTGTTATCCACTGTTATTTCTGGCAATAAGCTAAGGGATAAACCTCATAGGTGGACTTATTTTGAAGTGAGGGACCATTAAGATAAAGATAATCCCCCATTCTTAAATATATCACTTCTTTACATTACACCATTTACATATAATTGGCCATCATCTTCTATTCTTCTATACTTCTTTTGAGTAATTTTATTGTATGCAAATTTTGATATTTGTACTACTTCCTCTATTTTTTAGGGCTATATTTATTAATTTTCTTAATCTTATATACTCCCTCCATTTTTAAATACTTGTTCCACTTTATCTTTTCGGCCGTTTTTAAATACTTACTCCATTTCCTTTTTTGGAAAGATTTTACAATATTTAATTCATTTCTCACACTTAGTGGACCCAACAAAATACTCTCTCTCCTCATATTCTTCCATTACTTTTGCTTTTTATAATTGTTTATTTTCTCAACTATCCCACTATATCCATATTTTATTACTTTCTCTAATTTCTCCTAAAACTCCGTGCATGGAGAAATTGAGCAAGTATTTAAAAATGGAGGGAGTACTTGTACAAAAGTCAGTGGCCTCAAGCATTTCATTCACTCTCGTTTAATGCATACACCTATGAATATTAACGTACTAATTTAGTTAGCTAGGTATGATTTAGAAAAATGAAAGTATTATACTTTCTTCTTTTTTAGTTGAAATATTTTAATTTTTAATATCAGTTATAAACTTTACTTTGACTAACATTTATGATTTATAACTATGATAAAACACATTCATATAAAATCTTGTTTGAATCATCTCAATATAAAAATTATAAAATTTTTAAACTTTAGATGTTGATTAGCAGAAAAATTATTAGCCATTACTATTGTGTGTGTTAACAACTGTGATTTTTTTTTTTAAAAAAAAAGAAAGAAAAAGAAAAAAAAAAAAAGCATGCCAACTAAAAAAGAATGGAGAATATATATACCAATAATTAATACAAAAATAAATCTTATAAGTATGAAGACAAATTTAATAAATTAAACAAGATCCCAGTTTCTCCCCCCCCCCCCTAATATATTGGTGAGTACATTGGGTAAAATTTTTGCTTCTAAACCCAAGTTTCCAAATAATCAAGCTTTCAGGAACGGAGTGATTATTTTTTTTTTTTTTTTTTATATAATTGTTATTTGTCTACAATTTAAATAAAAAAAACTTATTATTAAGTCAAAGCAAAACTTTGAAGGGAAAAAGAAGTTTACATGTGAAGAAAAGTTATAGTAACATCATTAAATGTGGCGAATTATTTCAATAACGCGGAGAATAAATTTGATACTTACACAAACCCTATAAAAAGGCATAAATAATTTTTAAAACATCAAAGTGCACACGTCGGTAGCATAGGTGAACTCAAAAAGTGTAAGAAACAGTTAGTGTGGTCTTTTACTTTTAACCTTTTCATCATCATCATTATTTGTATATGTCAATGCCTAGAAGTGGAACAGATTCACTTGTTCTTGGAGAAGTAATCGGAGATGTTTTAGATCCCTTTATTAGGTTTGCAACTCTTAGAGTTTTTTACGAAAATAGAGAAGTTATCAATGCTTCTGAACTTAGACCCTCTCAAACTATCAATCCACCAAGAATTGAAATTCAGGGTAACGATCCTATGGCAAACTATCACTATACATTGGTAATTTCATCCAAATTATATCTATCTTTATTTCATTAACTTGGTATTTATATACATATATTCCTTAGTATAAAATGTGATCAATTTTATGTTGCGCAGTCCATAATATTTGCAATTTTCTTATCTCAAAACTATGAAGGTTATGGTAGATCCTGATGCTCCAAGCCCTGGTAATCCGACCGAAAGAGAATACTTGCATTGGTAAGTTATTACAAAAATATTTTGAATTGATTATCGTAGTGTCTATCATGCTACCGAGAGTATCCAAAACGGTGATCCTAGTAGTTGTGCAGCCTCGTGCTCAATCCAAGATCCGACCACTAGTCTAGCTATTTACGTTTGTGCATGCATGAAGGTTCTACATCGATCCGGGATTACCATTTTGGGTTATCATCAATGGTGCATTATTGATGCACGATACCGCGAGTTGGGATTAAAATTGTTGTTGGTTCATTGTTATTCAGGTTGGTGACTAACATCCCGGCAACAGGAAACATCAGTTATGGTAAGTGATTAATTTTATGCAGAATTTCTAAATGCATAAGTCCATAGGGCACATTGGTGCGAATGCAATTGTGCTAAGCTGTTAACTTTTCGGTCTGTAGAATTCAAAATTTTCAAGAACATAGAGAAATAGAAGATTATGTATGTATGACACATAGAAAAAAAAAAAATACTGATTGGCAATCCACAAAGACATCATAATTTTTTTAAAAACAACAACAACAAAAAAGATAATAATATAACAACAACAACAAAGATGATGATAACAACAACAACAACAAAATAATAATAATTATTATTATTATTATAATAAAATAATAATTTGTTTAAAAATAATATAATAATAATAAGAATATTATTATTATTATTATTATTATTATTATTATTATTATTATTATTATTATTATTATTATTATTATTATTATTATTATTTCATCCATTCATTAAATCTGATTGAATTCTCAATTGATTTATATTCAATAACCAAGATTATATTTTATTCATCGATCTTATACAAATTATATTCAGTAAAACAAGTTAAGTTCATTAGAAATAAATTTTGTATAATAAGTGAGACCTTATTTGCTTAACATTCTTTTTGCTAAGATGCAATAATATAAATTGAACTCAAATTATTCTTACTTAAATTTAATAATTTTTTAAAAATTGATATAATATCTACTAATTATAATTTAATTTTGCTAAATTTCTACTGTATTTATTCTTTGAAATTACTAATTTTTACTAATTAAAAATTCTTTTACTAACTGAAATTATTTTCACTAAACTGAACTTATTTTTACTAAACATAGTTTATTATTACTAAACTGAAATTATCTTCAATAACTTAAGTAAATTTTACTTAATATTATTTTAATAAGGTGAAGAGATCAGAGGCCTAAAAGAGAAAAAATGTTGAAGAATCAGTAAAAAAAAAATTATTTGTAAAAATAATTTCATTTTAATGAAAATAATTTGATTTATGCTAATATTATTAAATTTCATTAAAATAAATTTGTGAATAGATAAATTATATTAAAGATTGAATTAAATTTCCCTTAAAAAATATTTATTTTAAATAATTTTAGGTCCTATTTACTTCACCTTTTTTAGCTAAACTTGGAATTATTTTTACTAAATTAAATTATTTTTGCTGAATTTTATTTATTTTTACTGAACTTCCTACATATATTTCTTCATTGAAGTTACTAAATTTCGCTGAACTAAAATAAAGTTTACTAAACAAAATTTATTTTTATTGAATTGAAATTATTTTACTAAATATTTTTTTTAAGGTAAAGTGAACACAGAGCTTAGTTCATTAAATAAAATTTTAACTTCGATGAAAGAACATGTCTCAAGGGAACAAACCATGAAAATTTTAAGTTTAAAAAATTATCTTTCTACTTTCCATTTAGGCCTTTATGTGTGTCCCTTATTAAATATCATCATTTTTTAAATTACAAATTTTTGTATGTGACTGGCTACATGGTGTGACAAGGGTTACTTGTATTATGAGGTTACTTGTAGGGTGTTACTGGTTTTGGTCAGGGTGTTACTTGTTACTTGTATTTTGGGGTTACTTGTATGGTCTTACTGGTTTTGGTCAGGTATTTCTAATATAATATAGGGGTTTGATCTGGGGTTATTTGTAGGGGTTACTCAGAATACAAGTAACACCTACAGTAACCCATACAAGTAACCCCAAAATACAAGTAACAACTACAAGTAACACATGGTGCTGCAAGGGTTACTTGTAAGGTGTTACTAGTTCTAGTCAGGGTGTTACTTGTATAGTGTATTCTGGGGTTACTATTGTATGGTCTTACTGATTTTGGTTAGGTGTTACTGGTTTGGCATGTGGGTTTGGTGTGGGGTTACTAGTAGGGGTTGGTATGGTCTTACTGGTTCTGGTTAGGTGTTACTTGTATTTTGAGTAACCCCAACAAGTAATCCATACAAGCAAGTAATCCATACAAGTAACCCCAAAATACAAGTAACACCTATAAGTAACCTTTGACAAAACTAATAACACCCTACAAATAACCTCTGCCACACCATATGACCTGCTACACTGAAAAACCTTGAGTTTTAAATTTATTTCTTTCATGGCAAACAAGAATCTGTCGATTTATTTCCCTTAATAAGCAACAATATAGTTCCAATTGTGCAATTTAAACTATACTAATTAGTAGGAAAATTTGTGTGGAAGGGACTTACATGTTCAATATTTTGTTTGAAAGGACCTTGTATGCTGAAAGTTGTCTAAAAGGACCTTATAAGTATGTTTTGTTGTTTGGAAGGACCTTGACATCGGAATTCGGCATTTGACTTTGATTCTCCGGCATTGACTCCCCACGTGCATGTCACATGGCATTAAAAAAAATTACCCTCTCCCTTTTTTCCCCTTAACATTGGAATCCGGCGTTTGACTTTGCTAGTGTTTTGAAGGCTAGGGTTGGAGGGAAAAGGGGAAAAAAAGGGAGAAGGTAATTTTTTTAATGTCACGTGACATGCACGTGGGGGGTTAATACCGGAGAATCAAAGTTAAACGCCGGATTTCGATGTCAAGGTCCTTATAAACAACAAAACATACTTATAAGGTCCTTTTAGACAACTTTCAACATAAAAGGTCCTTACTGACAAAATAGTGAATATATTAGTCACTTTCACACAAATTTTTCTTTGTCCATATTACCCGGTTAATCAGATGCTATATTTTAATTATCTCTGGTTTTTTTTTGATCGATCAGTTGGAGAAAGAAGGATTTTTTTTTTCCAACTAATGTGAGGCACCTTTGGATTGTTTAAACCTTGTTTATTTACTCCGTATTGCCATAAATGTGAAGGTCTGATCTCCAATCACTCAAATTAGGTCATTGGGTTGTTTCAATATCCCTTAAAAAGTTTCAGGACTATCCCCATTGTGATCTCATGATCACTTTCGAGATTTTAAGCCATGTATTTAGCTGATTAAAACCATTTGACAAAAAATGATACTATTTTTGTAGATTTTAGCTAGGTATGAGATATGATTTTGACATAGATAAAACCTAGTTACCCATATATACCTAGTGTTTACTTAAGACGATTTCTGTTGTGAAATCCAAACATTTAACTCCCAATTAAGGTATGAAAAGAAACCTTATGGGAAAAGATGGGTAGGACTCATACCAAATCTCTAGTTATCAATTAAAACAAAAATTCTCTCGAACAACCATCGAATAAAAAATAAAGTATTAGTAATCAATTTCTAATCTCATACCACTCTGAATTCAGTTTTGATTTTAAAACCTAGCCATTTTGTAAACAGAAGGGTGTAACGTGGTTACATTGATCATATATGGATTTGCTAATATTGTCATTACATGCACATTATGCTAGTTCCTCTTCCTCATATTATATATATATATGATTTATCTTGAAGGTATACTATATTCATGCAGGGCAAGAAATCGTTTCTTACGAAAGCCCAAGACCTTCATTGGGAATACATAGATTTGTATTTGTGGTATTTCGTCATTATGAAACCAAAACAATCAGTAATCCTGGGTGGCGTCAAAACTTCTTCACCAGAGAATTTGCTCAACGTTATGAACTTCGTATGCCGATTTCGGCCATGTATTTCACATGTCAAAGAGAGAGTAATTATAGAGTTAGAAGACGTTAGATGCTTTCCTTTCCACTCTATGAATTAACGGAAGAACAGGTAGCACAAATTATGCATCAATTCTACGAATTTGAAGACTTGGCGATACTTGGTTGTTAATTAGCTCTTTTAAAAGACCATACTTTTGGTCCTTAATGTAGCGAACTAGCTATATTCATCAATAATTATTGCCTTTTGGTTTGGTTCCAAGGGCCTTTAAATAATTATTGCTTTTTGGTTTAGTTCCTAGGAACTCATGTCATATTTTTCACTCTAAATTAACCCTATCATTTAGCATTGAATTTCTTGAATTTGAGAAATTCATAGTATAGTGTTATACACTTATACATGTCATATCGAAATATAATGTGGACAACATAGTGAGTATATGAAAATATATAGAATTGAGATCATGTGAGAATCAAGGTGAATAATAGGAATTAGGAACCAATCTCAACCTTTAATCACCCTACATCGATCCGACGGCTGACAACTCTCCCGCATTCATTAATGGCATTTTCGTAATATTGTGAATTTTTAAACTTTTTTTTTTCCAGTTTTTTAACTTTTAAGGCAATTTCATTTACTTTATAACTGATTTCATTTACTTTAACGAACTTTTTATTTACTTGTTAGAAATGAAATTAAAAATCACTTCGTAAAGTTGAAATATAACGAAAATGCCATTAATGACATGGTAAGCATGCTGACCGTCTAATTGACATAATTTAAGGGTCTTGATTAGTTTCTAGTTCTTATCATAGTATTGGTTCTCATTATAACTTGGTTCTATATAGTTTAATTATTTGAAAAAAAACACACACTATAAATGCTTGTAGAGTATTAATGTCAAGAGGCATCATTGAAAAAACAAAATTTTTATAAAAAAGAAAAAGAAAAAAAGGAGGGAGATCGATGGGGGTGGAAGTACAAATACATATGAGCATATGATATATTGATATGCATTTACAAATGCAAAGGTATTTTGAGTCAATAATTACTCTCATCATTAATAACAATAATAAGTGTACGATGGTACTATTAAATATCATGTTAGTTATGAGTGTTCAAAAATACCCGACTCGAAATACCTGACCCGATGACCCGATAACTTACTTCAAAGGTGTTAGGTAGTTTCAATAGATCTTAGTTGTATATTTATGCAACTATTCTAGTTGCAACAAGGGGAGGCCCAAAATGCGCTGTCCAAACCAAATAACCCAGACAACATATCCGCCTAAATAAACACCATGCTGTATAAAATGAGCATTTAGTTAAAAAATTTGAACATGAAAAAAAAGGAACGCTTGATAATAAAAAATGATCACGTTAAAAAAAAAAAGAACATTTGATACTAAAAAGTGAACATGTTATAAAAAAAATGATCATTTATTAAAAAGGAACATGATTATCACATAATCATATACTCGTATTTGCTAGACCACGACCTTAAAAATGAACATTTAGTAAAACAAAATGAACGCGTTAGAAAAAAAAAGAATATTCAGTAATAAAAAATGAATATGTCAAAAAAAGAAATTAACATTTAGTATATTTGAAATGAACATATATCATTGTAGGGAATATTTCAAGCATTACCCAAAACTTGAACCCAACTGTGATCATACACTTAAGCATGGTGGTGTCCAAAGGGAAGGAAGATACACTACAAGAATCAGGTCAAATAACGACGGACCATTTCCGACGGACCTGAAAATCCGTCGGATAATTCCAACGAATTGAAATTCCGTCGGAAACTTCCGACGGAAAATAAATCCGTCTGAATAATTGGACATTCCGACGAAATATTCCGTCGGAGAAGGTCATTTCCGACGGAAAAATTTTCCGTCGGAACATATACTATTAAAAAAAAGGAAAAAAAATATTTATTTAACTTCTAACCCTAAACCCCTTCTATCAACCACTTTTTTTCCCTCACTTCTCTTTCCTCTTTTTTTCTCTCTCCTCAACCCTCCTCCTTTCCTTTCTTCTCTTTCTCTCTCCTCATCCCCTCCGTCCACCCCTTCTCTCATCTTCTCTTTCCTCTCATTCTCTCTCCTTATCCCTCCTCCTTTTCTCTCCTCTTTCACCCCTACCACCACCACCAACAACAACACCATAAACACCAAGCAACAATAACGAAGACTACAACAACACCGACGACCACAACAATGGCGACCACATGCGCATAGATCTAGTTAATTTTTTATGAAATTTTAATGTTAAATTATAAATTTTTTTAGATGATTGTATAAATATATATTTCCTTTAATTTTTGTGGTTTAATTATCGTTTTTTTTTTTTAATTTTCTTTATGAAATTCTTGTTAAATATGTAGATCTATTAGTTTTGATTTATTTGTATGGTGTTTTTCGATTTTATTGTCTCAATTTTCGTATTTTTGGGTTGATTTTCGATTATTGGGGTTATTTTTCGCTTTTTTTTTTCCTAAGTTTTGTGTTTTTTGGGGTTTATTTTTGGTGTGGTGGTGTTTAAAGATGGGAAGGGGCTAGGGTGGGTGTCTGTGGCGGTGTTTGAAGGTGGATTAGTGGCTAGTGTGGGTGTCGGTGGTGGTGTTTGATGGTGGGATAGGGGCTGCTGTGGGTGTCGGTGGTGGTGTTTGAAGTGGGATAGGGGCTAGTGTGTGGTGGTGGTTAGTGTCGGTGTGCAGTGGGGTCTGGTGGTGCGGGGTGGTTGCTGGTGATGTGGGCTAGTGGTGGGGTGGTGGGAGGCTTTTTTTTTTTTTTTTTTTTTTTTTTTTTAAAATAATTTTCCGACGGAATTTCCGTCGCAACATAACGACAGAACTCAGTCCGTCGAAAACTTGCGACGGACTTTCTCGTGCCTGAAAATATTTTCCGGCGGACTGAATTCCGTCGGAAATTCCGTCGGAATAGTGTTTTCGACGGAAATTCCGTCGGAAAAAGCCCATTTTCCTATAAAAGATTTTCCGACAACTAGTTCCGACGAAATTTCCGTCGGAAACGAGTTTTTCCGACGGAAAACAGGGTGTTTCCGATGGAAATTTTCCGTTGTTATTTGGCTGTTTTCTAGTAGTGATAGAGCAAAAGAGTCGCAAAATAGGCCTCTACTTTAGTCTTCTAAATAACATGCAATCAATAGCTTACCCTAAACCTATTTGATCTATGATGGTTGAATATTAATGCACAAATAAAACTATTATTGGTGATCACTTGAATTATAATCAAATTAACCTAAAACAAGATTATTAAGTATCTTATTAAGCGTGATTACAAGTACAAATTCCCCTTAAACAAGCATAAAAGGCGTGATCAAGCAATAACAATAAATAAAATCAAGCAACATAATAATAATAATAATAACAATTATAATAATAATCATGAATCATCATCATAACAATTATAATCATAATAATCATAATTAACATAATCATGTTAAAGCATAATAATAACAAGATCCTATGCATGAAACTAACAAGATTAACAACAAACCCTAGCATGTCACTAAGCAATAAAGATCAAAGCTTTAGCCATAACATGATACTAACATGCTATTAAGAAAGAAAATAGGAAGCATTATAATAATCATACTTGATATAAGCGAATCACTCTAAACATGATACTAGGAAGCAATAAAACATCCTAACATGATCCTAGGAATCAAAATAACAACCTAAACATGATTTCTATATCATTGGATGCCTCGTATCTCTTTCTAATAACAAAATACACACGTTAGTAACTTCAAGGAAATTAAAAATCAAAGAATTAAATTAAATAATTGAAATAGAGATTTGAGACCAAACCCTCAGAAATATCAAACCTTTCACGTCTAGGGCGAAGACAACTTCGAACTTGGCTAGGTGTGTCTAGATCTTGTTAATGCGGAATTTTGTTTGTGAAAAGTTGGTTTAGAATAAGAGAGAGAGAGTATCAAGAATTTCTTGATGAGAGTTGGTAATTAAAAATAGAGGTTTAAGAAGGCTATTTATTATTAAAATAAGCCGGAATATGATAAAAAGAATCGGAGTTTCAAGAAGAATAAAACACGATGCCAGCGCCGCACACGCCTCTGTCGCCAGGGGACAGCCTGTGGTGCGGCGCTGCAAGCAGTTTTTTCACACGTTTTCTTATTTTTGATAAAATTAAGCGTACGAGGGGTAAAACAGTAATTTCATTTAAAACACTTCTTTTATTCTAAATAAAATTCATAAAACTCAATTATCAATGCTAATCACATTAGGATTCAAAAGAACCTTCTAGAAGATTCTAGAAGGCTATAATCAATCCTAATTGCATTAGGAACGATAAATCATAATAGGCCCTCCTCCAGATCATTGGGCCGCATATAAAAATCAAGCTGGGCCCAGTTTAGTAATTTGTAATTGGCCATAACTTCCTCATTATTCCTCGGAATTGAGCTTATAATATATCGTTGGAAAGCTCTTTTCAAACCCGATCCAACTACACTATCATTGAACCATTTCAATGGACGTAACTAAACTGGATTGACTATTTTCATAAAGTAGGTTTTCGAAAACAGAAAGAAAGAAGAGAATTAAAAACTAACCACAACACTAGACTTTCCACAATTTCACTTCATTCGATTATGATCCGACATGAAAGGTATTCATCACCAGGTTTTGTTATGGGGAGACACATTTGGGTGTCTACAGAAGCCCCCACTTTGAATGTGTTTGGAGAAACTCAAGTTTAGAAAACAAAAGTCAAAGTATCGATAGGGACGGAGAATGATTTAAAACGTTCTGCGATCATAAATCATTCTTGTAACGCCTATACCTGCAAACTAGCGTTAGTTTAAAACTGATAAAAGAGGTTAAGAAACGCGTATCTTGCACCGTCGAGCACACGTCTTTGGAGGTAATCGATTTGTTGCATTTGTTGTCGTGATAACCTTCCCAATCATAGCAAAAGCTGTCGAAGACTGCCTCATTACGAACCGCTCTTCTCAAATCTTGGTGACAACCTCCACAATCCTAGAGAATGCCGTTGAAGACCGCCTATCTCATGCTATCTTCT